TTTTGATATTGTCACATCTTTATAGTGGTTTCAGTAAAACAATGACTGACAAGCATATAAAATTCTAAATATCTTATCAATACAAAACTCATAGGATTTCAGAGAAATCTCCATAAAACAAAGAAACGCTTTCAGATCGTCAGAGAGCCTAGAGGGGAAGATGTAGTTGAGGTCCATCTTTCTGCCCTGAGGCCTTCATCCTCCAACAATAGTGAAGGGCTATAGATCCTTCACCACCAGATTCACCAAAGCCTCATCCAGCTCTCTCTGTCTGCCTTTAAAAAGAACATAAACCTACTGTTTGATAAAACTACTGAAACTGAGCAAATCTAGCTTGAAATAGTGCCTAGTTCTTTAGATTATTAGGCCAACTAGGCCATCATTTGTAAGCTGGATGTAAAACAGCACAGGCCAAATACAGTGAAAACAATTAGCTCAGTTCTGCTCAGTGTGGAAAACTATTTGTTACTGGTTTAATTGGCCCTTTTTAAGGAGGCATATGTAGTTTTTCAGTGAACTCATATCAAATTTTCATTGCCTTATTGTCCCATACCCAGCAAGCAATAGCCGTCATTTCACCGTTTAGGTTTACTGGAGACCTGATTTAGTCCGGCTATGAGTAACCCACTTCTAGCCGTAATAACTTTGTGGTTATGTGGTTAATAACCATGTGGTTACATGACGTTTTTGCCAAAATAACTTGCACCGTGTATGATATTCCATCATTTAAGCAAGGTCTACAGTGATTACAAGGTTTTTTGTTTCATTTCTTTCACATGATTTACGCGCAAGTGGGGTTTCGCCCTGGCAGCACGTGAGGTATTTGATATCCCATTATTTTTGCAATGGCATAATATCTACAAGATATTAAGTGTCATTAAATTGACATGGTCTATCTGTAGCCACGATTTAGCTCTTACTTGGACAGGCTACGTGTAGTCTGCTTTTAGCCCACCTGGTGAAATAGAGGCAATCAGTGGTCTAATATCAACGGCTTGGCTGTAGCTCTGTTTCAGACCAAATAGGTTACATGTAGTTTTCAATCATGCAGCTGTTGAGGTGCGTGATCTCATTTCATCAAATGCAATTAAACGTTTAAAACATTTAAAATCTTTATTTTCGCTGTAACGTTCCCTGCATTACCTTTCATTTTAATTTAAAACACACAGTGTGGAGTAAGGCACGTTGTTGTTAGCTTAACATGCTGCATGCAAGTGTAACTTAACGTTACTGTAACGTTACTCCATGATACCCACAGGTTTCCTCGTGCCCTTACAAACTCTTGAAATCAAAGGGGGTGAACATGAAACATGTGCAACCTTACCTATTATAATTTTGTAATGAAAGCCGCACATATTTTACTCACTAACGTTAGATCAATTTACCTTCATTAGAATGATAATTAGAAATATACTGTATGTTTTCATTTAAAATCATTTGTTGATAGTAATCATGTCTTAATGTTTACTTATATTCATATTCTTACATATTCAACAGTTATGGATCCATTTACCCGACAGACTGGCGCCACCCGAGAGACCCATCTGATGCTCTTCCTGCATCAAGTAGCAGCTTAGATGAAGATCTAGATTTGGATGTAGCCAACCCATTTATTTTGTTATTATTTATGTTTTTATTACCGCATGTTCTTAAAATTGTTCGTATTTGTATTTATAATAATATTTTATCAATAATTCCTTTATATTCCCATCATGTTGTATTGTCTTAAGTTGTAATTGTAATCCTTTTTCTTAATAAAATTTTTATATTTAATTTGTTTGGACGGATTACCATTTATTTATCACTATTCTGTTGTCTATTAGAGGTAGATATGTTGTCATTAAAAACATGTGTTTATTTGGTCTATTTTTGGGCTATGGTTAGACGTCTATCAAACTTTCACTGACAGCCCAAATTCAGCCCTGTTTTAGCCTAGATGTCTAGGCCGTGTTTTACCTTGGCAAACCTGAATCATATGACTGCTCTCCAGTCAAAAGCAGGACTTTCACACTCAGCCCGTCATAATGTTCATCTAGTTTAAACTTTATAGTTCAGCCTTTGTGAACTATGCTTCTCTGCTTTCTTTCCAAGAATGAGGCGTCTCATGTCTGTGCATTATAGAGCTGGAGTCGGGGTTAAGACAGAAATATTGCTTCTACATCAAGGACCAGTACGGTGACATGTGGAGTTCAACCATAAAACCCTCCCAGGGTGATGACCATCTCAAAGCAAAATGGAAATTCAAGAAGTATAAAATGACAACTGTCAGTAATACACAAAGAATCATTCATCAAATATGTAACCCAAAATATTATTACAGAACATCTCCTTATATTTCCATTATTTACTGATAATCTAGCTCACATAAAAAGATGATGTAAATATCAGTGGCTTAAGTATTGCAACATTTTGTGAGTATTTATATTTTATGCTACTTTTTTCTTATTTCTACTGCCACCTTTTATTTCTCCTATTTTTATTTGTATTTCTTGCTTTCAGATAAGGATTTTACTAACAAAACATCTCATAATTGAAACGATTATAAAATAGTTATAAAAGATGAAATCAATGCAGCAAGCACGAAGATTTATTTTTCTTGGAAAGTGAGCACTGTAGGAACGTCTACATCAGATGTCCAGTAGATGGACATATTGTATCAGTTATAGTTCAGTTTACGGTTGAGGCTGACAGAGTTGATCCTGGACCAGAATACACAAGTTTGATGAGTCAAAACGCAGCAGACAGAAGGAGAATAAAAAGTTATCTGTTCAGAAACATTTTGTTTTGTATTAGTTTTTTTGTCCTGTTACATTCAGTCTTCTCATCAAGCTTTCTGTGCAGAAGGTAGATGAGCTTCCATGATCCAAAAATGCATATGTTTGCAACACTGTCTCCTTTGGGGGTCTTTACTGGAACAATAGAGAAAAGACAGGCTTCTTCACCGGCCCCAATATGCCCACATGTACGAGGTGAGAGAACAGCATTGCTCCCAATTGATTTCTCATTCAGTTCTGTTTTCTTTCCCATGTCTCTTTGTTCAATGTGAAGTATTTCAGACGACTACTGCAGTCTTTGCTCATGTGTCCTACCTACAAACATCCAAAACAGACTCCTTTTTCCTTTTAAGAAGTCTATTTTTCCCCCTGTGCATCTTCCTGATTTGTGGACACCGCGCCAATGTGTGACCACCTCCATCACAAAACAAACAGGAATTTTGAGAATTAGTGGCAAATACATTTCATTCCATTTGTTGTCGTTTTTTCTTGTTTATGTGTTTCTACAGGTGTCACAGTTGTTGCAAAACTGCTTCCTCTTAGTCTCAGCTTTTCTCTTGCTTTGACAAAGGTGGAGCTTTTGACAGATCTGACAAGATCTTCACTTGTCTCTCTTCATGAAGTCTACTAGATCAGATAAACTAGCTCAGCATCCATGTCGTTCCTAAAGTTGACATGCCTTATTCCTCACTTGTCTCTGAGCTTGTAAGGTAGTTTCAGAAGAATGGTCTTCATACTGGAAGCAACATCCATCTCCTCCATGTAGGTGAGCTGTTCCATTGCATTGCAACAACCTCTAAGGAATAATGCAAACGCTTGCAATGCTTTCACATCCTCTGGCTTGATGTTCATTATCAAAATGTTCTTTAAGTAGATCTTTTGCTCTTTTATAGCCTTCAGCTGGAGATGTTGCAAATATTGCAAGCTGGGGCCTAAATCTTTGGATGCCCTGTGGTGTATTGCTCTAGGAAATGCTTTCTTTCCACTCCTCTCTCAAATGCCCTGATGAAAACTCCATATTGCAATGGACCACCATCATAAACAGGAATGTCTCTTGGTGGTAAAGTAGGAGAGAGATTTTGTTGAGCGAGAAGAGCTGTGATGTCATTTTGCCTCTGAATTATGTAATAGATATCACCTTCATTAACATCATTAAATACAGGTTGTTTGTGTTAGAGGACTCATATCCTGAGCTCTAACAGACGGTCCATTAGTTCTTTCCTTTGGTCGAGCAACCTGTTGCTGGGAAGAAGATTCAGTTCCCATTCGCACATTCTGTCTTTGTTGCACTTGATCAGGTAAATATGTGTTTGCATGTGGATTTAATTTGACTGATGTTTTCTTTTGAGCAGTTCCTTTTCTCAAATATGAGTTCATCCCATCAGATACTTTTGAGCCGTTTCTTGATCCCATTGATTCAAGTACATTGATTTTTGCATTGGTTGCTGCCAGTTCAGTCTCTAGTTCCAGTTGTATAATTAACTAGTTGAAGATATTAAATCATTTCACAGTCTAGCCTATTTATATAGACATACAAAGAAAACCCAAACATATCAGGATGCCACACTAACTATTTCCTTGGGATCAGGCAGGGAGGAAGAATAAAAACTGTCCAAGCTCATATTTTTAAGCACCCAGGGCCTATTTTTTAAAACAATAAATAAAATCCATAGGCCTACGAAAGTGTATGTGTGCAGGTGGTGAAGATCTGCTGGGTGAGTCGAGGTGAGAAGGCCGATCTGTCTGTGCGCGGTGTCTCAGTGCACTCTGTGCGCCTGGCAGCACAGTCTGTTCACTGCAGCGATTTCACACAGAAAACTATATATTGAGAATTTACTGTTTTCGTGATTCCACTGTCTGCCATTGCTGATTCCCGTGTCTGACTAATTTTGCGTGAGCGCATGAGAAAGGATGAGTGGAAACTCCATCCGTGCGTTTTTCCGCCAGAGGACTTATTGCTTTGATGTAGCACAAAAATAAATTATTAGGCTATTATTAATAAAGAATACAATTGTTTGTTTTTGAAAAATAAGAGTGACTGCTTGCATTAAAATTATATACACAAAACAACTAATAATTTACTTTCTGGGTTCAGACAAATGTTGAAAACAGTCGGTCTCGATTGTCGAAGGTGCAGTTCACCCACAGCTCAAGCAGGTGACAATGCCATTTGCTCTGTGCAAAAAATAACATGAATGCTTGTGAAACCGAAAGAAGAAACATGAGTTGGTGGCACTGATGCCTACATGCAGTCAACACGCTTACACGGAAGACCTAAGTGAACTGCGGATGTGTTTTACCGGGTCCACCTGAGAAACGCTGATATCCCCGCTAAAGTAAACCCGCCGGCGTCCTCCGACCAGGTCTGATTCATGGAAGGACAACGTCTGTCCAAGAGGCCGGCAAAGACACGCAGCGACCCAGAGATGTAGCCTGCGTTAGACTCTCCTTATTGGTAAGTGGAGAACGTCCACACACACACACACACACACACACACACACACACACACACACACACACAAAGATTACTTTAGGGTGTCATTTCGTTTTAAAGCAATCAGTCACAGTTTTTGGGTTCTTGGTATTTTTGATTTTGCTGTTGTTGTTTGTGGTAAGACCTTCCTCTTGCGTCTCATGTGTTTTGTTCTTTGTCTCTGTGTTGTGTGTTCTGTTTGTCATTTGTTCATTTGCCACTGTTTTACTTTGAAGTTGCTGTGTCCTTGGTGTCATTTTATTGTCTTACTTCCTGTCTGTGTTCAAAATTAGCGTGTATCACAGCTTTTCAGAGTGTGTGTGTGTGTGTGTGTGTGTGTGTGTGTAACTCAGGCAAAGGCTGCTGCACTGAAGCAACACACACTGGAGGTGTTGGATTTTTAACCACATAGAAACTGTTGGATAATAGATGATAGTGGCCTCTACATGGCTCCTGGCAGCAGTTTCTGTAATAAAAGCAGACAGAAATGCTCCATGACCATCACGCCACATAAATGCATTTTACAATTATAGAGGAGTAAACTGTAATTACGTAAAAAATGTACCATTGTCATCAGGCTTGACATTATCTTTTTTGCTCACCAGCCTCTGTTGCTAGTTGTTTTCCAAAGTTACTAGCCACACAGCATTTTCAGCCACATTTTTGTTGTTGGGAAATTATGTTTAATATGATTAAAGTTGACTATTGCGCTAAAATTTACTTGAACTAAATTTGTCCTTTTAAATGTAGATGAACACTGCACCCAAATCAAGAATACATAAAATGTATAACTTCAGGTCATTGTAATTAGCTCTGATTAGGTTGTGTGTAAAGCGCCTTTTTTATGAAAACATCTCGGCCTAGTCTATGAAGATAAAGACAAAAAAAAGTAGCTTCTTATTGCATATAATAAAAGTGGTGCATGGTTGTAGAAGGTTAATTGAATATAAAAACTAAACTGGAAAAAACTAGCATCAGAAACATTATATTTATTTACAACAGCAGTAAATACTGTAATACAGAAAATGATCTGCAAGCGAAACAAGGAGCAAAGATGAACAAATTCTTTTTGTCCAACTGACGGCTTACGGGTCTTTAGGTCGAAGGGACTGTGGTTTGATGACTCAACTTATATTCTCATTTCACAAAAGTTTTGATGTCATATTTGGAGCGCGCACCCTCGCGCTGGGACACTGCAGCAAGAGGGTGAGACGCGCTTGACATGTGGATTCTCCTGCTTGATATTATAAAAAAGCTTGCTGTATTATCGCTGGTCAAGTTGACACTTAACCGTAGGCCCTAAAGTGTCATTTTTACTTCTGCGTCGAACCACCTCCTCAAAAATGTAACTACACGTCAAGTCGATGTAGTCGATGTAATGTATTTGACCGTCAGAGCGAAATGACTTGTTTTACTATCCGAATGTGATCCATTTGGTTGATAACATTTGAAAAGGCTACATCAGCCGCACGTATACAATTTTACCCCCATTCACGTTAGCGGAGGGCTAACTGGAAGTTAGCCTGCTGGGCTGAGCTACGCCATAGGCTATGCGCGTAGCCAGGCATTTATACTTGTGCGTCAGTGTCTCCATCATTCAGTTCAATTCAATTCAATTTTATTTATATGGCGCCAAATCACAACAACAGTTATCTCACAGCGCTTCTGCAATTACATCCCCAAACGCTAGTCGGCAGTAGCGCTACAGCGTCCACTGTGTTGACTTTTGGCTTAGGCCCTATGCAGGAGTATAAATCAAGTTTAACAGCCCTCATGCCACTTGGGAATATTTCAGTGCTCCAGAACAATTCAGGAACAATTCAAAATATAAAGAATACAACAGAATATGATGCAATGATCAGTAGCTTGATTTTTAGCTTAAGTTACATTTTTTGGACAATGCAAATCTCAAAGCATTTTCATTTGTTAGTTAACATTTCTTGCTATTTTTCATAATACATTTATCAAATCCTTTTAAAAAGTGATGGGGAGAAAATCACCCACTTCAAAAGGTGGTGGGGACATGTCTCCAGCATCCCGGGTGTCTCACATCAGCTAGGAGGATGCAAGCACATGAGAAAAGTAGCTAGCCCTGCAAACACGTGGATCAGAAAACAAAAAGCAAACACACATCTACCAACTACAACCAACTTAAGCAGAGTTTAATCCGTCGAAACAACAGCTGTATAGATATAGAGTCCGACTTACATCGTCTCTCACTGTTTACAGGCAACTCCCACAATGAAAGAAACTCTGACACGTCATGTCTCCGGTATTTAAGCGTAGCTTGTGCAACTACGTACGTTACTGCCGTAATTGCCAACCATATTGTGATCCGCACCGTCTCTTAACATGAAGAACAACAGGAGGTTAAAAAGGAGAGAGAAATTATGAGGCCCCCCGGTGTTTATTATCCACCTTTACTCAATGGTAAAAAACGTCTATGTTCACTGATTACCCTGGTTGTCTTCACCTCACCTGTGCACATGCAGTAAGTGGTTGTTCTCTTGTTGTTGTTAGGACTGTTTTCCAGTGTTTCTAACAGTGTTCACACCGATGGATTACCTAGCCTTTGTTTTTGGACTGTTCACCTGTTTTCACCTGGTTGTTTAATAAAAACTCATTAAACCTTACCTCCATCTTCAGTCCATTCTCACTCCCAAGTTGTCACATAGCCTACGGATGGTCAAGACCCCTTGCTGTCAGTTTGTAACACACTGGGGAGCCCTCTAGCATCATAGTTCAATGTGCTGGGCAAAGCAAATAGTCCAAGTAAGGAAGGTGGTTGGGGTGGATGAGTGGAACACAAGCCAGACTTTCACCAAGAGACTGGTGTTTGTTCCTGTGTGAAACAAAAAGTCAACGTTGAGGGTTTTGTAGTAGTTTGTTCCTAAACCTAACCAAATTGCAATGTTTCAACAACATACCCTTTCACAACGTTAAACACTCATTTTCTTTTGAAAGTCTAACCAGATGTTGCATATTTATTCTACCAATCTGACCATGGAGCTCTACACGTTGAAACAAAATGCTGAACGTGTTCCCAGGGCGATAAAAAGTGACCAAACATCTAAATGTGACGGGTTGGACATTGTAATGATGAAACAAGTGTGTAATTGCTCTAACTTCTATTTGAAACAGAAAGGAACCAGCTTAAGTGAACTGGCTCAGCTTTGTGAAGACTGAAACCTGCTTGTTGGTGAGTGCAGCTTTCATTTTGAATAATTGAGCTGCTTCTTGAGCGTGCAAAGGTTTGAACCGGGAAAGTACGCACCAATGTTGAAATGTGTTTTAAAATCTAAAAAAACTTTTTTTCTTTTAAAAGGATGTTAATTTTCCTTTTAGGGTCTGGGACCAGATGAACAACGCAGCCGAAGAACATGTTTTAAAAGTTTCTATTTGAAATCAAGTCGAAAAAAGAAAAGATGGAACAAAAAAAGAGGAAAACTCCCTCTCCCTTCTCTGCAGGGTATAATGTAGACAGTTGTAAGAAGGCAGGTGACACCACAAGCAAGAAGGAAGGTTGAATGAGGAGGAAATGAATCATTAGACAAAAAAATTCAAACTTCCTTCTCAGAAAAGAACAGACGCAGAAGAGAAGTGTTCAGAGAAGGATGAGCTGCCGAGCAAAGTGTCCTCAGAAGGTATCATGAGGTT